GCGGAAAGCAAGTAGGGTCTCCGTCCGCACTCGTTCGGTGGGATCAGCCGCCGCCAAAGAGGAGACACATTGGAAAAGAGGCGTAGTAGACCCCAGCGCGCCTTTCGGCCGGATCGGAATGGGACCGTGCACGTTGCGAACGAAAGAGAGATCATGAGGGGTGAGGGTGAGGTAGTTCGCGCTCTCTTACGGAGAGATAAGGAAACGGCGTTTCCCTCCTCCGTCCGCACTCGTTCGGTGGGATCAGCCGCCGCCAAAGAGGAGACACATTGGAAAAGAGGCGTAGTAGACCCCAGCGCGCCTTTCGGCCGGATCGGAATGGGACCGTGCACGTTGCGAACGAAAGAGAGATCATGAGGGGTGAGGGTGAGGTAGTTCGCGCTCTCTTACGGAGAGATAAGGAAACGGCGTTTCCCTCCCAGGGCGCTCTGATGGGAGTGGGACTCCTTGCCGCGGCTGGAAATACTAGGAGGTTCCTGCCTGGGGTTGCAGAGGGATGAAGTTTGTTTTTAAAAAGAAAAGAGAAGAAGTGGGAGGGGGGGAAGCGGTTGGAGAAGGAAAAAGGAGTGCATCTGGAGGAAGAAGCGTGGGGAGGGGGACCACCAAGAGGAGGAGGAAAAACAAAAGGAAACGATGGGGCGGAAAGGATGGTAGGCTGGCCTTGGACCTAGTCAAATACCAACACCCCCCCCAAAAAAAAAACATGGACTAGCACCCCACCAGGAGCACTTCACGTGTCCATCACCGCTGGTGCCCAGCATGGACGCAACAGCTACAGCGAGAACCTGTCAAGTCGTTTGGAAGCACATCATCACAACTGTCAAAATAACTAAACGCAAAACAGCGTTTGTTGTTAGGCTGGCCAACACAGAAAACTGTTTCTAAAAATTAGCTACTGGAGCCAACAGCTCCTACCCCATGCCAGCCAGGATTTGCGTTTAAATCCCCACTTCCGGCTGGAAAACTGATTTCTTTATCTCCAGCTGCATTCATATACAGTACATCTCATAAAGTGGGTGGCCATCCACAAAAATTTGTGCTGAATAAAACGTGTCGGTCTCCCAAGGTGCCACAAGATTCTTCACTGTTTTTGGTGCACCAGATGTCTCACCACCACCACTGTCCTCATGACAATTCTCAGGGGTGTTTTCTTGAAATGCCACATTTCAAAATTCCTACCAATGTCAATTACTGTATATCCCTCCCTTAATCCCCAGTCGTTGCATTTTCCAGTCTGCTGCTACCAAGTTATGATCAAGGCCACGCTGTTCAAGGGGGGGAAATGGTAGTACACAGGTAGGTGTACTGAAAAAGGCTGTTTGGATCATTGAGTCCTGAAAGGAAGTAGGAATATGAAAGGAAGTGGGAATATGGCTTTATTAACCATCATCACTGAAAGAGATGGGGGGACCACTGGTAAGAATCATGTGCATGAGAGCAAGTATTCCAAGGTTTATTGACATCCTGCTACTGGCAACAGTCCTATTGATAAGAAAATTCTATTTAGGAAGAGTGATTAGCTTACCATAATTCCCTTTGTTAGTCCTCTTTATTCTTTCCTACATACACCTCCTGCAACTCCTTCAAAGTGATTATATCTAGGGACAGGAGCCAACCCCAATCAAAGGGTGCAGGAAAGGGGGAGTGTTCCCACCTGAAAATCTAGAGTTTTAGAGTTCTACTTCCTTCTCTCATCTCTGCCAGAGCCTGTAAAAGCAAAAAAGCCTCTACTTCCTAAGCCTTTGGTTGTCTTGTCAAAATTGCTGTGCTGAGCCTGAAGCCTCCTTTAGATCATGCTAGCCTGAGATCACCGTTCCTCAGCTGCCAAAACTTGGGGCCTATGGCAATCTTGTCACTTTATTTTCTTTCTATTTTAACTCAGAATACTGTACCTCTTCTTGTCTTTCTCCCCTTCTTTCCAGAGTTTCACCTAGTCTTTCAGCACTCTTCAGCATTTCTTCTGGAACATCCTACACGATTGCAAGACAAGACAATATTGATAATCCCTACCTGCTATGGGGAAGTGCTTTCTCTAAACAATTGCTACTTGCTCATCTGTTTTTCCTTTTCTTTGGCATGTACTTGTATATGAGTGTGCTAGGAACGATCTTACTTCATCCCCCTTTTTGAGCTACCTTGTTTCTCCCCTCTGCTCCCAGCATGCTTTTGCTAATCCTTTACCCGGCTGCCTCCTAGAATCTATATCCCACCCTGTATAGCTGACTGGATAGCTCAGTGAGTTAGGTTTTGGGAGTTCAGTTCCCCATGTAGCTCACGGGAGATGAAGCCACCCTGTGTAGTCATGGGCAAGCTGCACAATCCCAGCATTCCCCCAGAAGAAGAGAATGGTAAATCACTTCTGTATATTTGACAGCACACAATTATTCTTATATGCCCTACCATACAATTACAATCATAAATTATAACTCTTTGAATTAATTTTTCATCATTCTGGAGCACTTATGTTCTTTAATTTCCTTTATTTATTTATTTATTTATTTACTTACTTACTTACTTACTTACTTACTTACTTACTTACTTACTTACTTACTTACTTACTTACTTACTTACTTACTTACTGTCTGATATTCTTGTACAATTCCTCAATGTAGTCAATATGTATATGTTTATTCCTGTGTTTTCAGTACAATTTCTCTTTTCAAATAGTTCTGTGTGGATGTGGTCTACTGGAGCCAATCTATCTAGATACACAATTGCCAAAGTTCAAAGATAATTTTCAGAAAAGGCATGAGTGCACAGATGTGTCTTGAGAGTATACATAATAGACAATGCAACCTATTTTGAATGCAATTTAGTAGAACTGTACACCAGCTAATTTTCTCTGGTCCAGACTGTTATTTTAAAGGAGGGCACTGACTCATATTTGATCAATCCTTTTCTTATTAGAAATCTATAGCCAAAGAACTGGCTGAAATCAATATGAAAAATTCAAGCACATAGCTTACATTGTCTTGGTCCTCTCTGATCCATTAGAATTGTCCACCACAGTGCTATAGTGATGATAGCTGCAAGTACTAAAATTCCCCATCTTTGTAGCAAGTCCCAGAGGCTTCTGGATGTCCATTTCTTTCTCACCAATGTCCTACTGTTCCTGCGGTCGCCAAGTTCTATGTGCATTTTCTCTGTGTTGTACTTTATTCACGGCTTATTCTATTTCTTTTCTTTATTCAAGACTAAGGGTGCTTCCAGAGAGACCAGTATTAGCACTACAGTGAACCCTCTACTTACACAATTAATTCATATTGGAACGTTGGCTGCAGGTCGAAAAGCCTGTATGTCGAGTCTCCATTGACCTACAATGCATTGAAAACCGATTAATCCCATAACCGGCCGTTTTTGTTCCATTTTTGTTCCATTTTTGTTCCATTTTGATTTTTTTCTGGTCTGTAGGTCGATTCTCCGGCTGCAAGTTAAACCTAAATTTTGTGGCCAGAGAAGTCTATAACTCGAAAAGTCTGTAAGTCAAGTCGTCTGTAAATCGAGGGTCCACTGTATTATCAGAAGTGTTTGTGTATCTATTCTATCTTCTCTTGGTTAGAGGAATGTTTATCTTAAGAAAAAGATGAAGAGTAGGGTGGGAGAACATGGAAGAGCTGAAAAGGGTGACAATGCAGAGAAACACAGTGCAGAAAAATGTTGTGCATAAGACACAATGATTGCATGGTAAAAATCACAACTGGAAACATTCTACAAGTCCACTGATTACTCAATGGCTGAAATCCTGTTGCACGGCTCTCTGCATGCACAGTGAAAATCATGCCAGCAGCAGCAAAATGCTGCTGATTAAAGGCAAATAATCATTTACTAAAGACAATTTGCACCCAATATGACAAAGTTGTGTGCATCCCAAAATCACCAGTTTGCTACTAATTATGACATAATCCCTGTTGTGCATGCAAAGCAGGACAACAGGATGTTTTGTTAGTTTTCTCCTTTTCAGGCCAGGGTACTTTTTGGTTATGCTTCTGTATCTTGACCTGCCATATTCATTTTCCTGTCTCAACATGGATCACAGCAATAACTGAAGGAAGAGATTACTGCACCTTTCCTCAGGGAAAAACATCATGTTTTGAAGAAAACAAAAGTACAGAGGAAGGAAATTGTGCAGATGTACAATATTGTTTACAGTTTATCCCTCTCACAATTTGGAGTTACCTAATGGATTGTCTATAGATTCAGGACAGACAAAAGAGAGTCCTTCACAGAAGTTGCAAATAGGCAGAGAAGCAAATAGGTATTTGATTTAGGAGGAGATGAGATGCATGTATTAAGGTCTGTTTTTAACCATGATGAATTTATGTGGAATTCCCATACCTCTGAAGACCAATATTGAAATCTTGTCACTTTAATTGGATTTCTAAATTTGTGACCCACAGATTTGTTCTATCCTGTTTAGGAATCATGTTTGACTTCTCCCATCTCTCCTCTTGGGCATATATGTTTATTTCAGGATGCATTCTCAAAATAAAATCATTTTCCTGATTCTTTTATGCATTTTCTTAAGAGTTTTAGAGCACACTTTTCAAATATGCACATTTTAGCTGTGTGTGCATTTTTTTAAAATGCACCCATGATTTTATGTACATTTCTAAACCATGAAATGCATTGCAAGCCTTATAAAGATTTCTAAAGTAAAACTTGTTCCATGTTGATGTCAGTCACAGGAGACTCGAGGTGCATTTTTTTCATTTGTAACTGCAAACTCAACAGATTCCCCCTCCCAACCTTATCTCTAAATACCACTCAATAAGGAACAATAGTAGGAGAGATCTTCAAGTTCTACGCATTGCCTTTCCAGAGGCACTTGACTGGTTGCTCTAGGAAGACGTACCGTGAATGGTAGACATGCTGAGGGTCTGATGCAGCATGGCTCTACTTCCATTCACTGTCTCTCTGTGCAGAGCGTACCACTCCTCCAATTCTTATGCTCTGAAATTTCTTCTGAGCACCCTGTCTAATTGGCCCCTTCTTGGCTCAGTTCCATGTCTACTCTATTCCTCTCCCCATCTTCATTCCCCACATACCTGGCTTCATCTTCCACCCATTGCTCATTCTGCACCTCTCTTTCAGCCTCTTTGCCTCTGGGTTTCCTATCTCTTACAATCTTTTCTCAGTCATCATCAGTCATTCTCTGTGCTAGGTTTTATCTCATCTAAAACATGTACTACTTATTTCTTTCACAAAATTTGCCCACACACTGTTTTGTTTCCTGACCAGCTAAACACTCCGAGCCATCCTGTCAGCTCACCCAACCAGGACAAGTTAACAGATGACATTTATTGGATAGCATGTAACTGTGACTCTTTTTTTCTGGACAAATTAATTAAAGGGAGGCTGTATGTTAGGAGAGAAGTCTCATCTCCTCATTCTCCAGTCATGTTCCAAACCTTCCCACTCAACGGACACACACACACATGTGTACGTACATGCACACATACTTTGTGATGAAAGCAATTTTCAATCAGAACATGCTTTGAGAGAAACAAGATAAGCCTATATTTTCCAGTGGATTCAAAGTAAGCCACTTATACACACACCCACACCATTTTTCTAACTAGTTTATTAAAAAAAAAACCCAGACTCAGCTGCCTAGCTGGGATTAGAAACTGAGAGCATGTTACTCTGGTGTTTCAGGCGTGCTGCTGCTCTGTGCAGACATTTTAAAAAACATTGTTAAAGATATATGTGGCTTTGTGGGAAGCAGTAGAAGGAACATCTCTTCGTAGACAATGTTCATCTTCATGTGGTCTTACTAATTCCTCCATTTTAAAAATAGAATTTAACATCTTTAGTGCTGTTGTTCACCTTATTTGTCCATGCTTGGTATTACGTTAATTTTTGCAGCAATTTTTGTTTTAAAAGCACCTGTTCTGTTCTGAAGCCGATTAACTGAAGGGATGTTTTCTTTGAGTAGGCTTTTAAACTACCATGTTCTTGTCCATATGTCTGAAACAAGTTTTACTTTAAAAATATTGTACAGAACTAAGCCTATGCTTTTCTTGAATTCTAATAATAAAGTCATTGAGGATTTGGTGAATCAAGTTATCTGTTCAGTGGGCCCACTCTAGTTGCAACTTACTACTGGAGTTCTGCTATTGTGTTATTTTTATTCTTATTACTTATGCATTTACCTTTTAACAAAAATAACTACAGTACTATGAAATTATAAGGGACACAATTGTGTATTCTTGCCTTGGGCACAAAATAACTAGATACAGCTCAACTGGCTTTGCTAACAACCTTGGGTTTGCTCAAAATAAGGAACAGAGGCAGTATATTGTTTCAACAGAGAATTACATTCCCAGGGGAATTTTTTTTTAAAGGAAAGTTGCTTGAGGAGAGAGGGTTCTCTTTCTCCCATGTAAGGGCCACATCCAACTTGTGTTCCATCTGTTGCTCACCTCTGATCTAAATGGCAGCAGTTTGCAGAGGGGTGTTTTTGCAGCCTTCTCAAGAATAGCAAGGTTTGAACATTGCACGTGCTCGTGTGAGTCATGTGTTCTAACACTGGGCATAGTTCATCCCTATCTTCACCTGTAAACCGTCTACTTCATGTTTGGATTATCTGTTGTAAGACTCTGCATTTTTCATTTCTCATTATGAGACTGAAGTGTTCTAACTTTCTGCATATTACAGTATGTGTTTTATGATGTGTTAATCTCTCTTCATTGGTCATGCATCTTTTGTGTTTTATGATGTGTTCTTTTTTATTCATCCATCTTAATCTCTCTTCATTGGTCATGCATCTTTCAATCTTGATGACCATCATATCTGAGAGCATTGACCTAGATTATCTCTGGATCTTATGTTATGTTCAAATGAAGATGCATCATAAAGATGCACAGATATTTCAACCAGACTATCTCCACACAAACTCGAGGCTAAGATTTAAACTTGAGTAAAGCCAAAATGATTTTCAGTCATTCACTTCATTTTCACTTCTGTCAGAATGATATTGATTCTCAGTCCCTGTTCTGAAACATTATTAATAGACCCCTTACTCCACTTCTATATATTGGATACAAATGGACAGAACAAAACATGTGGCTCTGTGGAGAAATGGCATTGCTGTAGAAACCATTGTGCCTAACAGTGGAAATAGGAAGTAAAGGGTGCCATATCAAATGATACGTTTCCAAGATTTATGTTTTTCTTGCTTTGAAACCTACTGATATTTGAGGTTTGTGGGTTTTAATGTTGTGTAAACCACCTGGGGTAGTATTTGTACTAATCAGTCAGTATATAAATTGAAGAAATTAATTAACAGAACAAATATTCCTTTCTTTCTGTTAGCTTTGGGCAGTCTGCTTGTGTGACCAGGCCCCTACCCAGGCTTCTCACTTCTAAAATAACTTTCCTTTAACGGCTTGATTCTAGCCATTAAGCATACTAGACCAAGTGGTTAAAGAACAAAAAATGATATTTTCTTTATTATAAAGTAACAACTTCTAAGGAAACAGATTGCATCATCATCTTTTCTTCAGTTACAGACCAACTGCCCAAACATAATCTCCTCCTTCGGTTGCAATCTTGCTTCTTTCTTACATTCCAGCTCTCCAGGCCCCTCCCCCTTCATCCTCTCCTGGATAGGCTGGCTACCTGCACTCCACAGCCAATCACCTTGCTTCCCCTGTTACCATACAGATTCGCCAGGGTCCCATTACAGCATGGCTTTCCTTCTTCCCCACCTATTCCTCCCAACAACCCCATGAGGTAGGCAGGTCAGATAAAACGAGTGAATAGCACAAGATCACCCAGTCAGTTTCATAGCTCAGTGTGAACTACTGTACAGTATAACCTGAATGTTCTCTCATACAGAATGATGTATCGAAGAGCAGTCTGAATAAATTCTTCAGTGTATTTATTTTTCTTATAGTTACTCAAATTACCTTATTTCTAACTTGTACTTGTGTACAAACAAGCCATTTTCAAAGCAGATGAACATGCATAATAATTTTATACCTGTTAAACCAAAACTAATTCTAAAGAACATACCCCTTATCTCCTGCAAAGTACACTTCGTACCAAACCGACATACCTTGCCATCCTTTTGATTTTAAAATGATGTATGTCATACATACTTTGAACTACGCAGATGTGTAATAAACAGTTCTCTG